GTGGTTTCATTAGAATGACCAGAATGAGTCATGAGAAGAATATTCATTCTTGTATCATTTTCCAGGACCTAGGTGTGCCCTCCTAGACTATTGGGACCAAAATTCACAAGCGTCTGCACCTTGCTTTAACAGTGCAGGACATAGTCTCTATCACCTGGAATTTCACTGGAACTTTGGAATATACAAAAGAAGTATGAGACTTGGGTCTGCCCTTGACTCTATTTAATTTGCTCTTCTATTGAATAGCAATGATTCTCATTAAGACTTTGGCCTTTTTATAACCATGATATATATTTTATGGAGAAGATTTTACTCTTGGCTCTATTTAGAAAGAGTAAATTTCAGCTATAGCTTAAGTTTTATGTCCTGGACTTAATATTTTTTCTAATTTCTGTTTTGAGATTAGATTCTTATGTAAATAGGAAAATACTTGTTATTACTTATAAGAGCAAATTAGTTATTGGTTTCAGTTCCTGAAGTGGAAGCACAAACTTTTGTTTTTAATCTTTGATTATCCCTATCAGTGCTGCTCATTGTCTCTCAGTGTGACCTGGCCGTGCTCCTCCACTTACCCTTGACCTGCTAAACCATCTCCACACACTGTCCAGTTCCCAGTGATTCAGGCTCCTCCCAAAGCTCTCTGAAATGAGTCCAGGTCTCAAGATGTCACACACATTCCAGATACAAAAGCAACTCATACTGCAGAGCGGAGAGCTGCGTTCCCACTTTTCTGAGGTTGGCTGTGATGTCCTAGGACAGGAAGGAATGCTTTCCCTTTTTAGGGGGTCTTTTCTTCACATCTCAGTGCCTCTGATCTAGTGAACACAAATGTCCTGAACGTGAAAGAACTTGCTAAATGTCTGGTTCCTTGTTATGTGGCTGGAATAGATTTATAAGACTTTTTTACTTACTCATGTCTGCTGAAGTTTGAATCTTAGTTTGAAGTATGATTTCTTTTTCCTGTAAAGTGAGCAGTCGGTAGAAGATTAGCCCTGTTGCTGTGCCAAAAGAGGTAAACTTAACTTCAACTCAAAGCAAGCTTGAATTTGAAACTAGGGCTTCCACTCTTTCAATACTGGACTGTCATTCCCTGAGACATGTGTCCGGAAGGACTCCTGTCCCTGCTGTACTGAGGCTAAGGTTAAGAAGAGCCCAGCAAGCAGGGTCTCCTTCACTTCTAGCTTCCCCCAACAGTTTCTCCTGAGTTTTAGAGACTCTATTGAGAATATTCTTGCTCTACTTTTGTGTTTTGGCTTCGGAATGATGTGATGCAGCTCAGTGGTTCCTAACCCCAAGTTGATCAGAGTAAGAAAAACCTGGGAAGGTCAGTGATAATACAAGTTTATTGTCCTCCTTGCAGGGATTCTGATTCAGTGGGCTCAGGTGGGGCCTGGAAGTTGTTGACATGACTTAGATGTACAGTCAGTTTGGCGAACCTCTGATACCATGAACCTTACAGTTTATGGGATGATTCTTTCTATTTTGCTGGTGATGTAACCAAGGCACAGAGGGTCTGTAACCTGCCCAAGTTTCCTTTGCTGGAAGTACTGGAGCGAGATCTCAGGTAGAGTCCCTCTGGCACAAACCCCTTCTCACATTTTCCAATTCAGTTGTGTGGGTTCTTTCCAAGTAGGTGTTTGTCTCCCCTGTACCCCATCTCTGCCAAAAAAAACTTTTTGAATTTAATTTGTTTTATCTAATACATTTCCTCACAACGTGCTGTCAACATCCTATTCTGGCCAATTACTATTACTCTAAGATGACTCTTTTTGAGACAGGGTCTCGTTCTGTCATGCGGTCATTATAGCTCACTGCAACATCGAACCGCTTGGCTCAAGTGATCCTCCTCTCTGAGCATCCAAAGTAGCTGGAACTCTAGGCACACATCACCATTCCCAACTAATTTTGTAATTTTTTGTAAAGATAAGGTCTTGCTGTGTTGCTCAGGCTAGTCTCAAACTTCTGCCCTCAAGCAATCCTCCCACCTAAGCCTCCAGTAGGGCTGGGATTATAGGAACAAGCCACTGAACATGGCCCTAAAATGCTTTTTTTAAAAATCAAAATAAAAATGCAGGGCATGGAGATGTAAAAAGATACCTCACTTTATTACTGTTATAATTATTACTCCTAAAGTATAATCTTCTAAAGTACAATTCATATATCACAAAATTCACCATTTTTAAGCATACTATTCAGCATATTCCAAAGGTTTTGTAACCATTACCACTACCTAATTCCAGAATACATTTGTGATGCCAAAAAGCATGCCTATCCTTATTGGCAGTCACTCTCCAATTCTGCCATTTTTGCAGTCCCTGACAACCACTAATCTACCTTCTCTCTCTCTAGATATACTTGTTCTGGTCATTTCCTGTATGTGGAATAATGCAATGTGGCCTTTACATCTGCATCTCTTATGTAGCACAATGTTCTCAAGGTTCATCCTTGTTGTAGCATGCATTAGCACTTCAATCCTTTTAACGGCCAAATGATATTCCATTTTATAGTTACACCACATTTTGTTTATCTGTTCATCAACTGATGGCAGTTTGGGATGTTTCCACTCTTTCACTATTATAAATCATGCTGCTATGAACATCTTTGCACATATTTTTGAGTGGAAATCTGTTTTCAATTTTTTGGTGATATACCTAGGAGTGCAATTGCTGCCTCATATGTGACTTTATGTTTCAGTTTTTGAGAAACTGACAGACCGTCTTCCTATCTCAGTGGCTACACCATTTTATATTCCCACTAGCAATATATAAGAATTCCATTTTCTCCATAACTTTCCAAACATATGTTGTCCTTTCTGTAAAGTCATATTAGTGGGTCTGATGTGGTATCTAATTTTGTTTATATTTTCCTAATGATGAAAAACACTGAACATCTTTGATCTGCTTTTTGGTCATTTGTATGTATCCTTTATAGAAATGTCTATTCAAACCTTTTCTCTTATTGTTAAATTGGGTAATTTGTCTTTTTTGCTCAGTTATATGCATTCTTTATATACTCTAGATACTAGACCCTTGTCAGGCATGTGATTTGCAAATAGTTCTCCCATTATGTGGATTATCTTTTATCTTTCTTGCCAGAGTTCTTGGAAGCATGAAAGATTTTTTATTTTCCTAAAGTCCATTTATCTACTTCAGGGTTGCTTGTGCCTACTTAAGAAATGTTTCATCCAGAGTCACAAAGATTTGTACTTATGTCCTCTTCAAGACATCACTCCTGGGTTTTAGTGGAGGGTAGACATTATTTATTTATGCCTCCTGTCCATTTCCAGTATTTCTCATGATTGGTATTCATATGCGCACCACCCCTCCAATGGAGCATTCCATGGCCTGGAATAGAGCTCTGGGGACTGGTATCCTTCCACTGACTTTGACACTGGTGAGAACACTGATTATGTGATTCACCTGGCCTTAAACCAACCCACATGAACATACTTCTCAGGACATCTAGAGTCGAAGTCAAGAGCCTCTCTGAGAACGCTTGGCAGCCCATGCTGTTCTAAGGCTGGAGCAGACTGCTTTTGTCAATTCCAGACAAAGGAGACTACATGGGTTGACTGGGTCATACATATGCAGAGTCAAACCCCTGCAGTTCGCTCTGTCCGGAATAGACAACTTTCATCTCGGGTGTTAGAAAGCAGACCTGTTTCAGGGTTTGGGGAAGGTAGTTCGATATGAACTAGGTCCTCTCTAATTATTTTTACTGTATGTGACTTATTCCTAGAAACAATGGAAGAATATTTATGTTCGAACATTTTGTCTATTCTTTGTCAATTGTTGTTTGTCTACAGTTTTAAAGTAGGTAAAAAAAGAGCTCAACGTAAATATATTATTAATACTGAATTATGCTTGATGTCCACTGCCGTAAGATGATATTTAATTGTGTATACAATCTATTACTTATGTATTGTCCGGCTCCTGATGAGAAAACAGACTCAGAAAGATTACAAAATTTCCCTGGGTCACAAATCTAGTGAGGAGTCGAATAAGAATTAGAAACCAGTTTCTTTTGGCCTTCAAAACTTACCTTATACCATTAGATCAAACTGAATGACAGTACTTTTGCTAGAATAAATGTCAGAGTGTGGGTCTAGATTGATTTTCCAAGAAAATATTGTGTCACTTCAATAGTATTTCAAACTTTTAAATTTCAAACTCGTTTTAAACATTCTACCTTTTTTGTGATTGTCATTGATCTACTGGATTGTTTGACATTTTCTTTATGATCTATTGGAGTTCTTTACATATTTTGAATGAGTCCATTTGTTTTGTTGTTGTTAGAACAACTCAGAAAAATAAAATTCCTGTTTATTGTTGGACAACATTGTTTCACACATACATCAAACAGGCCAATAAATAAATAAATAAACAGCAACTTCATAGACAAAAAAGGAAAAAAAGGAAACCGTTTAATCTTTGGCCTTTAAACCATCTCATACAAACCAACTACTTATAGTACAGCCAAGTACATATACGACAAAGGTACTGGAATGCTCGGAATACGATTGTTTTTCTGTTGTCGTTTTCGCTTTTTTTTTTTTTACAAGGTTTTTTTTTCCTCCTTTGAGATTCTAATGAACACGGCCACACCACAAGTAAAGTCAGAAGTAGGACAGAGAACACTCCGAAGCCTGGTTTGGTCATCGGAGATCATTAAAAATGACTGACCCTAACAATAGGTACAAAAATATATAATGTGAATAAAAAATACAAACAAATTTCCTTCTTAAAGTACTTTTAAGAAAAAAAGCAGGGCCTTGGAAGTTTTGGTTCTTTTTTCCTCCCCTGTTGCAAATTCTCATGGTTTGGGTTGGGTAGTAGAGAGCGCGGCGTGTCATCTGCGGCTGGCACTGCCCGCGGTGGGCGGGCGGGCCGGCCTCTCTACTCGAAGGTGACCACATTTAGATTCTGAGACCGGAAGTGGAGGGTGAATAGGTCACGGTGGCCTTTGTTTTTGTTTTATTTTAACTTTTCCTTTTTTGCTGTCTAATCATCCCCGTGGGTCTTCTGCTTCTTGGTATCGGTATCATCCTCATCATCCTCATCATCTTCACCTGCCCGCTTGCCCGTAGCAGACTCAGCTTCCTCATCTTCATCTCCATCCTCCTCCTCACCATCACCTTCGTCTTCCTCCTCCTCGTCCTCCCCACCTTCTTCCTCTTCTTCATCTACCTCACTGTCAGCCTCCTGCTCCCCATTTTCCTCATTCGCATTCCCGTTAGCAGGGGCGTCTCTTCCATTTTCCGCCTCTTCCACAACTTCCTTCTTCTCCTTCAAGTCCTTGGTGATTTCGGAGCTGGTGTCTACCGCTGCCTCTGACATGGTGGGGCCCGCCGGTGATTCGATGCGGGGGATTAAAAAGAAAGGGAGATTTCAAGGACTCTGGCGATAAAGCTGCCGGAGTCTGCGAGGGCGAAGGAGGCGCGCGGCGGAGGCGAGCAAGGAGTCGGACAAGGAACAATGCAAAGACGGCTTTTCAGAGCAGCCAGTTGTTTATGTGTGTGTGTGTGTGTGTGTGTGTGTGCGTGCGTGTGTGTGTGTGTGTGAATGAACCTCTCTGAGAATGCTTGGCAGCGCATGCTGTTCTAAGGCTTCGCACCAAATCCCCTCACAATAGCTGATAAATAAAATTCTACCTTTACTCTCTCATTTTTTTTTCATTTTACGAGTATGACTCTGCTGTGAGGAGGTCTTGACGTGTGTGTGATGGAGTATATGTTGTTTACTGAGAGGCGATGGCAGAGAACACTGAGCCATCCCCAGGCAGGAAACTGCTAGAATAAGCAAGCAGTATGTACCGGTCACGGACTAGTTAAACCAGCTCCCAAAACACAGGATATTTGACCTTGTCCCAATTGCTGACTCACCAAGTGTTCTTTAGCTTATTTCTATCGTAGTAGTGAACAGGCACTATCTGCCTGTTTAGAGTATCTTTATTCTATGAAGAAACATAGAGCACCCGCTTATTAAAAATAATCACTTGTTCACAAAGAATAAACACGTGGGTCAGAGTCTGCTCTGGGTTGTCAGCTGGGAAATGCTGTCAGCCCCCTGACGGCCCCACTCTGATCCCACTTTTGCACTCCATCTTTGTTTGTTTCTTAATTCCTTCAGCGCCACCTGGGTCGGGGGTCTCTATGACTGAGCTGGTCTCAGCAACTCTTGGTAAAGTATTATGAGTCACTGACACTTTCATGTGAATGATTTTTTAATCCTTTCATCAGTTGGAATGATGAAATGGTGTCCTTTGAAATATCCATCTATGCTTTTTCCTGGGTCTGTCTTTTGACCCTTGACCCTTTCCTCCATTTAGTCAGCTCAGCAGTTCTGTGATCACTGTCTCTGGAAGGGATATGGCAGCTAAAAGCAGAGAAAAGTGGGGTCTCTGCTGGTTCCGGACAGCGTGAACAGCAGGACTAGTGCACAGACCACAGATTTGAAAGAGAAGATGGCAACAAAACAGAGGCTTCCCCACTCCAGGCTGCCACTCTCAGACTTGAAAAGGGCTTCCTACGCTGGAGGGAGGGGTTAGAGGGGATGTGGAGGGATCTAGAGGGCACTTGCAGTGGTGATGGGATGTGCACTTGAACACAACTCCAGCAGAAAGGTAGGTGACCCAGAAGGAGTCACCAAATTGCTTTGGATGATTTCCATCTTCCGGTGGAAAGGAAGCCTACATAAAAAATCAAGTGTTGGAGAAATGAAGAAAATGATTGCTGTTGTGTCCATGGACTCTTCTATTCGGACCACTGTGGGGACATTGTGTATGGGAAGTCATGAAGTCTGCTGGCTCTGGAGTAGGGAGCTGCACTAAATGGTGAAGGGCTGGACAGGAAGCTCCTGGTGCATGCACTGGCCTGCGCTGAGCAGCCTTTTGGTCCTCATGCTTCCATTGGGTGCTCTGCTTTGGAAGCCAGTGGGACTGTAGAAGGAAGGATCATTTCATCCTTCACAGCCACCTCTTCTTTGAAGTCTTCATAGATCCCCACAGAAGAATATGGTCATTTCCTCCTTGAACGAGAGAGAGAGAGAGAGAGAGAGAGAGAGAGAGAGAGAGAGAACGAGAGAGAGAGAGAGAGAGAACGAGAGAGAGAGAGAGAATGAGAGAGAGAGCGAGAGAGAGAGAGAGAGAGAGAGAGAGAGAGAGAACTGGTGAAAAAGAGCTGGTGGAAGATTGCTCTGCATCCAGTGTGGGGCCTGGGGTTCCTATTGGTCAGGAGAATGAGAAATGAGGTAGAAAATCTAGTTACAGAGTCAGGGAGAGCCAGGGCAAGCTAGAATCTGGGAGCATCCCTGCATTTGTTTCTCGCCACCTCTAACGATGATGACCAAATGGTGGCTGCTGCTTCACTTCTCCTGTCCAAATCTTGCGAAAATTTATCTTTTGGTTAACTATAATCTAGAACCATACAGGGACGAGGACTCTGCGAAACGTAGTTCCAGATTAGCCAAATTGACACATTACAAAACTGCTCATAGAACCCTATGGGCATAGAGAGTTGACAGGGATACCCTTTAAAACATAATTTATTATTTTTAAACAGATTACGCAGGTTGCTGCAAGGAAAATAGTAGGGGAATAACTGTGGGAACAGGAGGCCAGCCAGGAGGCTATTGCAGTCATCCAGTGGGTCACGGGAGTGGCTTGAAGTAGAGGGAGAGCAGACGAGGTGACCTTTGGAATTGGTGTGTTTTAAAGGTAGAGACAGCAGGCTTTGCTGACAGATTGAACGGGAGAAGAAAGAGAAGTCAATGACAAACACCACGAGTTCTGGCCTCAGACAACGGTGGCTGCTTCTTAAAATGGGAAAGACTTGGGGAGAAATAGGTTTTGGGGTTGGGAGAAATGAAAGATTCTCTTCGCATGTATCACAATTAAGATGTCTGTTAAATACCCAGGTAGAGAGGTTGTGTAAGTATTTGGATCAACAGTGCAGCTCTGGAGTTCAGGAAAGAGGTTGAGGGCTGTGAGAAGTATTTGGGAATCGTCAGCATCCAGGTATTATGGGCATCTGGCACGATAGAGCTTGATAATAGAGTCATGGACTTGAATACGTTACCTAGAGAGTGATTATTGATAAAGAATGAAAGATCTAATGAGAACTAATTATCTTAGTTCAAGCACTAAGATAATCCAATATTTAGAAGTTGGAAAGAAGGTGGTATCCAAGAAGGAATAGGAAGCTGAGGAGAAAATCCAGATGAGGGATTCCAGGGGTCAAAGGAGGTTTGTTTTTTTATCAGATAGAAAATAATACAGGATGTTTATCTTCTGCTAGGAATGATCAAATAATACAGGAGAAACTTAAACAGCTGGAACAAAGGGATAATTTTAGGGGGCAGTCATTAAGTAATTGAAAAGGCATGAAAATGAAAGTTCTTTTACACTGTAAGTTCACATTCTAGGCACCTTCTCTGTGTGTTTATACTCCATGGTCAATGCTTATACAGCATATTAGGGTGCTTTTGACTACAAGGAACAGAAAACCTGACTCAACTTACTTAAACAATTATTAGATAATGTCCAGTGAAAAGTCCATGGGTTGGGACTTTGAGCAAGGCTTGATCCAGCAGCTTGGTGCTGTCACCAAAGACTTCACTTCTGTTTTCTTTCTTTCTTTTTTTTTTTTTTAAGCAGCCATCTATAACATGTCTCAAAGAGTGATTGCAAACACATGCGAGACAAATGTAAAATTCAAAGGTCTAGCCAAATAAATGAAAAGCAAAGACTTGCTCTGCACTGCTCTCCAATATGTCAACTCCATGTAAAGCTTGCTCCCTTTGTGGTCTCAAGACTGCTGCCCGCAGCTCTTGCGGCTGTCTCTGCGTTATGTTCCATCAAGAAAGAGCATCCTGCCATTCCCAGAAAAAGCCTTGAGATGCACTCCTCTTAGGCGTGGTTAGGTCACGTGCCTACCCCTAAACCAATTTTTGCAGCCATGAAGAAGGAATGTGCTGACTGGCAAAGCTGGAATCACCTAGATCGCAGCTGAAAAGCAAGGGCTGTGGGAAAGGAGAGCATAAGCATTCATTCTAAGCGTCTGAATGACAGTCAGGTGATGTCATAACAGTATAAACCTTCCAAGCAACTATTGGAGGAAAATCACACAATTTAACACACATGTCCTAGAACAGCTAAAAAGAGCATCTGGGAATGAGTTTATTCACAATTTGATAAATACAGATAATTGTTTAAGGGGCAGTTCCTTAGATTATAAGCCATAAGCTGTAACTAAACTAAAATGTCTTCGGATTTCATGAGTATTAGTTTCATATATGTAAGCCAAATTCAGTTAATAATTTAAGATTGGAAAAATATCTTTAGAATGCATGAAAGGGCTGGGCACGGGGGCTCACACCTATAATCTCAGCACTTTTGGGAGGTGGGTGAATCACTTGAGGTCAGGAATTCGAGAACAGCTTGGCCAACATGGCAAAACCCTGTCTCTACTAAAAATATAAAAATTAGCCGGACCTGGTAGCTCAGACCTGTAATCCCAGCTACTCATGAGGCTGAGGCACGAAAATTGCTTGAACCTGGGAAGCAGAGCTTGCAGTGAGCCGAGATCTCACTACTGCACTCCAGCCTGGTGACAGAGCCAGACTCTGTCCAAAAAAAACAAAACAAAACAACGAAAACTAAAACTAAACAAAGAATGCATGATAGTTTGGTTTAGTAACAATTAACTCTATGGGGTGCATTACTATCAAGTAACGAAATGCAATTTGGTCCACTAGGGGGCAGCAGTTTCCGGATAGCGGCCAATAGTCTGTAGTATGGTTTCTGCTCCACTGTCAATCACTGTGGCTGATTTTTAGTAGCGGAGGTGAGGTCTCAGCAAATAGGAGGGATGTGGCAAAGTAGGGAGTGGTTAACATTTGCTGTGTGGAAGCTCTCTGATTACTGCGGTTCAGCCTCATTATGGTCTTTAATGAATCCCTTCCTTGTGATCAGCCAGATTCCTTGTTAGTACCCAGACCTGTTTTCAGTCTGTCAGTATTTTCCTTAGTGGAGTAATTCAAATTCCTTAGATAATAAGGTCAAGAAATTACATAATGCTATAATTAATCCTGGAAGGGAAATTTCTGGATCGGCACCCTCTCCTGTAGCTGGTTCTGCCTCCTCATGTAATTCACTAAGCTCTTTGTCCCAGGTAGCCCCATGTGAGCAGGAATTCAAGATAATGGCTGAAGCACCCTTCCTTGAGGACGTGCCCCCATGCCAGTTTCTCTTTTGTTGACTCTGCTGCAAATGTGTCCCTTTTCTCCGGTGCAACAAAACACTACAAGAGTGCGAGATTCAGCCTCTCCAGCGTCAGCACAAAAACAAACAAACAAAAAACAAACCGACCACTGGTCTGTTTTCCATAATGTCTCCAAAATGGCTATCATTTTTATGAGGACATCAAAGTTTTGTTTCAGGCATTCTTCCTTAGAATGTGGTGTTACATAAAACAGTTCATGTTTGGAATTTTATTGACAATGTTAAAGTCCTTTGATGCAAAGGAACAAAATAGACTTAAAATTTAATAACAGCTGGATAGTGAGCTGAAGTCTAGCTTGCTTTTAATTGGCTCTAGAGATCCACTTCTATCTCTCCCTATCTTATATTGTTCTTTTACCTGATTTTCTTTCAATACAATTATCCCAAGAATGTTTGTTTTCTCATCTCCAAGTAGTCAAACTAGTGCCAATGGGAAGAAATCTCTCCAAGACTGAAGAGAGCGCACTCTTTTCCCTTCGCTGTAAGATGACATCCCTATCCCCTGTCATGTGCCTTGTGGTGACTCTAGCAGGCAGAGTATCGTCAGGCTTGGTCACTTGCTTGGGGCAGTAGCATGTGAACAGAGGTGACGGTGGCCCGTACAGAGCAGAAGTGTAGGAGACGGGCTTAAAGCCTGAAGCTGTGGTTGCCTGTTTCTACCGGTTTTTTGTTTTTCCCTCTGCCTTCATCTCATTAAGGGCTTCTCCATTGGTTTGCATGCTAGAATAAGAAGACATTGAGAAGAGGTGCAGTCAGCCTACAGTCACCAAAATATTACAAGTGAAAAAGATGTGTTGTTCAAAGCCGCTGACAACTTTACAGTCATTTGTTACTGTAGTCGAGCCAATACAAACACCAAATCATATATAAATCATAAATGGAAGACAGAATAAGAACAACAGTAACGATTCCGTCACCTTTATTTATATAAAAGTATATTAAATAAATTATCTCAATATATACAAATAGAACAATATTATCTACATAAATAGAAAATCCCCACATACAAAATATTTTTTAAAAATTATATATAAACAATGTCAACCATAGAAGCTTTAAGTACCTTAAATCATAAACTCTAGTTTGTACAGTAGTCTTATAAAAATATAGTTAGCTCTCAAAGGTTTAATACCACTTAAGTCAGTTAAAGTTCAGACTGGAAACATATTAGGGAGGTGCCCAAAATACCGATGTCTCCCATCCGTAACATTCCTACAAAAGTTTGCCCATTGTTCTGAATTTCCAAATACACTCTCAAAAAAAAGAACCTAAACACCATATTACAGACATACGTATGTTAGAAAAGTCCCAGAAATTCACCCAATTTCCATTTTACTTTCCTACATGAATTGAAGTCAGCCTCTCAAAAGCTTTTCAAAAAGTCCACGCAGGATTTTTTAAGGCGTTTGGTCATTCGTTTTTGCTTGGATGCCATGGTTTCTCCTTAAGTGCGGAATATATAATCTAAAGTATATGTGCAAAAGGTGCCATAGTGTTAAAAATTAAAACTTGGAATTGGTTGTAGTACCGTTTGTGACATTTCAAAGTGGCTAATGCTGATGGCAAAACCAGAATGCTAATGGTAGTAACAGGTCATATCAAGAGCTTTTTTTGAATTCCAGGGTCTTCTGCTCTGAAATACTCATTTGTGTTTCCACGTATTCTATTCTCTTAAAAGTTCTCACAGTGCAACACAGCCTTTGCAGTAGCGCCAACGCTGCTTCCTTTATGCAACATTCAGCGGAGAGTTCTCCTTCCAGCCCCGCCCCACTCTTGCCTTTCTGCACTTGTGTAGAGATACAGCCAGGATGATGACAAGGATGATGACCACAAATACCACAGCTCCAATGATAAAGAACATTTCTGAAAAATAAAAGGCATCCAGTCAACTTGGAGAGCTCAAATCCCATTTATCAGTAGGCAAAATTGAGGAGATAGCCCCAAATTACACCATCCTATTTTTGTGCAATTTGAAATTTTTTTCTTCCACTCTTTCTACCACACTTAGATTAGGAAAGAATTTGTTAAACCCTGAATGTTTCAGAGTAATTGCCAATGGCTAATCGCATTTAATGGGTTTTTAACAAACTGAATAATGCACAGCCCAGAAAAGATATGTAGTTGGAGGTCAGAACAATGCTGGGAAGAAGTGCCTAAAAGCGATGCTGAGATTGACGGCAATGATCAGAGTAGAAGATGAACCCTGAGTACAAAATGGGAGAGCCCGAGTGCTGCCAGGATTCAGGTGAAGTAGAAATAGCAACTAGTTGGGGCAGTAGGAAGGCTTCCTGGTGGAAGTGGCATTTGAAATGCCTCTCCAAGGACGCATTTTAGCAAACAGAGAAGGGCCAGGGAAGCAGAGAAGTGTGTGCACAAAAGGAGAGGCAGTGGAATGAGAGCTGGGCTTTCGGATGATGACGGAAGGCTGTGGTAGGATGGCTGAGAGGGGTGCAGGACCAGAGGTAAAGAGAAACCTCTCCTGTCAGTGGCAATAAAGAGGAGAGAATAGTTTATTTAAAGTGTTTTAAAATGTTCAAATCTCATCTTCACATGGAGCTAAGCCATCATTTCTTTGAAATGGAGTCTCGCTCTGTCGCCCAGGCTGAAGTCCAGTGGTGCAATCTCAGCTCACTGCAGCCTCCACATCCCAGGTTCAAGCAATTCTCCTGTCTCAATCTCCCGAGTAGCTGGGACTACACACACATACAACCATACCAAGCTACTTTTTGTATTTTTAGTAGAGATGTGGTTTTACCATGTTGCCCAGGCTGGTCCTGAACTCCTGACCTCAGGTGATTTGCCCGCTTGGGCCTCCCAAAGGGCTGGGACTACAGGTGTGAACCACCACACCGGCACAAGTCATCATTTATATCCCCTGACTCTTTTCTTCTCTGAAAGTATTCAGAATACTTTCCTTGTAAGGCATGGAGTGAGATGCACAGGCTTGCAGCCTTATGCATGAGTCTGAATGCCCACAGCACTTCTGGTTAGGGACTGTTCCTCACACAATGTGTCTGAGCTCCCAACGTATGCACATGCATGTACACACATGTGCCTACCATACACACACAGGCATGCACGTGGGGATATTTGATATACTCAATCCCTTCCCTTGACAGGTTAGCCTGCATAGCCTCTGTGGTGACAGCCCACGGTGGGTACTCACAAATGTCTACTGGGTCCTGCTATAGCTGGCCCAGAAGCTACCCCCGGAGTTAGAATTTAAGCATGAAAATATGCCCAGGGAAATCTGTGACTTGATGCCAAATCCTAAACATAGTTTGTGGATCCAGTGGTCCGCAGAGTGCTTAGCGCATGGTAGGTGCTCGGGAAAACACTTGCTAATACAAGGACCCGAACAACACAGAAACATCGCTCAATGTCCACAGTCTCAACAGTACCAAAAGCAAAAGCAAAACCAAACCGAACCAACAACAAAAACCTCAAGGCAGTTTTTCTTCCTATTTAACCAAGGAAGTATATCCTAGCCCTGAGGGTGGAGCTATGTACTCCCCAGGGCACACATACCCCCAGGCAAATGGCCGGCAGAGCCACTCACCTCTGAAATCCCTTTTCTCATGGCTGGTACACTCGATGGTGCTCTCTACACTCTTGGGGTTAGCTTTTCGGGATGGAATCACCGCTTGAACATTGAAACAGTAGTTTTCTCCTTTATCCACATCAATTGAAAACTCATTAGTGTTTGTTTTGGCTGTTTTCTGTAAAAAGATAGAGTTCTTAATTCATCTGGGCTCACAGTGAATTCTTTCCCCTTTACTAAGTCACTGCAGAGTAAAAACCTAGGTTCTAAGCAAAGCTGACACAAACATAGCTGACACGTGAAGGATTAGAAGACTTCGCTAATCAGTTGCCCCGATCACTGCTAAAAATGCCTTTTCCAAGACTGAAAAGATTCAATTTAGGCATACTGAACCCTATTTGGCCTTCAGAAGATATTTACAGTAAAAGAAAAAGGAAGGAAGTATTACGCATTGAACCAAAACCAAAATTATTGTCCCTGGGATCCTCAATAGAGGGAGAAATGTGAGCATGGCAGGACCTTTAGAGAAGATCTGATCCAGCGCATTGGCTGAGGAACCTGAGTTTCCGAGGGGCCCTGCCCAGAGTCACATGCAGTGCAGAGTCACAGGTAGGACCAGGGCCTGTCGTCCACCCCTCCCCACAGCAGGTGACCATGCTTCTACTCCACCACCTTCTCAAAAACCCTGTTCTGCTATTTTTGAATTGGGGAAGAAATGGGCTGTAAAACCCAAGTATCCACAATTTAAAACAGGTCATAAAAACAAATTAAAAATGCTTACCTTTCCCGTACTTGAAGCTCTCCAGTAATAAAGTGTATAAATTAAGTCCTTGCCAAAAATATCCCGGAGGCTTAGGAATGTGTCATTTATTCTGACTAAAGTCCGCGCATCTTGCACTGTCACATTCAGTTTTGTCTGGACTTGTTCAAAACTCTTAATTGCTGGCTGTCCGAGGTTTGCTGAAACAAAGGAAATGAGCTCGGTTGGAACCAAAGAATTCTGTACAAAGTTAAATCCCGTTTTGTTATCACAATTGACAACTTAATTATCTCTCACATAAAATGTCTGCATAGAACCAGCTCCCTGAGAAAAGCAGGTGTGGCGGCCCAGAGCTGAATCCTAAGACATTCTGTGGCAATGCTGCCCAAAAGAAAGACAGCGAAGCCTCAGATGTCATTTTAAATTTTCTGGTAGTCACATTAGAAAAAGTAAAAAGGAACAGGTGAAATGAATTTTAATATATTTTATTTAACTAAAGACAGTTGACTCCTGAATAACATGGGTTTGGACTCTGTGCTTACATGCAAATTTTTTTCAATAAAAGTTACACCAAGTGTGCCTGCCTCCCCCTACTGCCTCCACCTCTTCCACTTCCTGCCGTGACCCCTGCTCTTCCTCCTCCTCCTCCTTCTGAGCCTACTCAATAGGAAGATGATGAGGATGAAAACCTTTATGATGATCCACTTCCACTTAATTAATAGTAAATACATTTTCTCTTCCTTATAATTTTCTTTTTTGTGAGGCAGTCTCTGTTGCCCAGGCTGGAGTGCAGTGGTGTGATCTCGGCTCACTGCAACCTCCACCACCTGGGCTGAAATGGTTCTCCTCCCTTAGCCTCTCAAGTAGCTGGGATTACAGGCACCCACCACTACGCACGACTAATTTTTGTATTTTTAGTAGAGAGGGATTTTCACCATGTTGGCCAAGCTGGTCTTGAACTTCTGACCTCAAGTGATCCACCCACCTTAGCGTCCTGAAGTGCTGGGATTATAGGCGTGAGCCTCTCTTCCTTATAATTATCTTAATAACATTTTCTTTCCTCTAGCTTACTTTATTGTAAGAATGTAGTATATAATACATGGAACATACAAAATGTGTGTTAATCGATTATTTGTCTTATTGGTAAGGCTCCAGTCAGCAGTCAACTAATAGGTAGGCTATTAGTAGTTAAGTTTTTGGGGAGTTGAAAGTTATACTCGAATTTTCAACTACACAGGGAGTCAGTGACTCTCAGCTATGCAATGCTTGAGTCAACTGCATATATCTGAAATATGATCATTTTAACATGTAATCAATATAAAAAAATTGCTACACTTTTTGAGTTCCAGTGCGTACTTTATACTTACAGCATTAGTCATATGTCAAGTGGTCAACAGCCACATGTGGCTAGTGGCCACTATATTGAATAGGGTGGTAGCATAAACTGTATTTTAGGTTCAAAAACATGTAGGGCTATGAAAAAGCCCAGGAAATGTCCTTGGTACGTTGAAAAACTGGATTTAACTACTGGGTCTCTGCAATGGCTCAATTATCCCATGTGCTTTGGTTAAATGACAGTGAACGGACATCAATGCACAGGCCAAATACGTGTGTGCACATGCGAAATAAACATATAAAATATTTCCTGTCTTGCACCAAGGAAGGATTTGAAGTAGCTTACAAAAAAACTCAAGAACTATTAATATAAAAGAGAATCACGAGGATGTCATAAACTAGGGGGCATGAATGTCCACCATGCCTCAGTCACCAGAGGGGTTGCTGACACAGCTGCATTCTTGCCTGGGGCCACAACAGACATAGGCAGAAGCACCCTGGGGGTCTGGAGGGTCTTACGAACGGGTCTCTGGCAAGGCAGCCACATTCACCTGGGGTCGCGCCCCCAATTTCGTAGCTAGCAGAGGAGAATGGTTGGTTAGTTGTCCATCCACCCCTTCTCCTCACCATTCCTACTTTGAGAAACTGTTCTCTCACTGGGCCGGCCAGGGGTAAACACAGAAAACCCACTAACACAACACCTTCACTCCAGACAGCTGACCTTCCAAGAGAAGCTAATTTCACTGCACTCAATGTGCTGCACGCGTTCATGTAAAATGCCCAGCTCAGAGCCACAGTCCTGGCGAAAAGAACTTAAATCTTCTACTTGACAGGAATTACCTGCATTTTCTTACTGGCTCCTAGGGTCAGCTCACGGAGGCAAAGGCTGAGGAGGAACGTATTCCACCTTTCCAAAACCATACGAGGGCCACAGGCAGATGGCTGGGCAGGTGCTGGTGCATCATGGAACTCAAATCATGGCCAACTGCTTGGAAATGGTCAGCATGATGAGGTGATTATGGGCTCAGAGGGAAACCATGGACTTTCTCCATCATTTTGGGAAAAATCCTCAAGTGGGATTTTTGGTCTTATAATGGGACAGAAAAATCAGGATATACGATACATATAGGGAAAAGCTGAAAGCCCAGCCTCAGTGGATGTCCTATCCTCACCTCTTCCCTGCCCTGCCCTCTCCCAGCGCACATTCAGCTGCTCACTGAGGACAGTAATACGGTCTGAGGACAGACTAGGAAAGAAAGTTACTTGATGACACTGTCATCAGCTCCAAAGTTCACATTCTGTGACTCTCCTACCACATCTGGAATGTGTGAAGAGGGCTGTGGTACTTAACCAGTTTCCGAGAAAGAATAAAAATTTTTATTTAGTAGCCCCTAAAGGCACAAGATCACAAGAATATTCAGATGTTTACAACAAGAATAAAAGGTATTACAGCCCAAGCCACTTACTATCCAGGTAAGGTGTGAACTCTGGGGAGTTCACAAACAGAGGCTCCCCTGCAGAACCGGCGCTACCCACATCCCCTGCCGGGTAGGAGAGGACCCGCGCCAAGTACGTCTGGTTGACGTCCTTCACTATTTCGTCGGTGAGGTCGCACTCTGTGTCTGTTATGTGAAAGCATTTGTTTTTCCAGTCTCCTGACTTAGTGCTAAAGAAAGAAAAGAAGAAAGAAAAATAAGTGAAATGTTACAATTAAACCCAACACAATAGGCTGCTTCCTGGCTGTGCTGTTCTGTGCTAACCTCGGGAGCTCTACAATCAACCCTAATGATGCAGTTACTGTGCCGAGCACTTTGCTTTTTGTAAAACATTGTTTCGTAGAAATGGGGTCTTGCTATGTTGCCCAGGCTGGCCTCAAACTGCTGGCCTCAGGTGATCCTCCTGCTTCGGCTTCCGAAAGTGCTGAAATTCCAGGTGTGAGCCATCATATCTGGCAACACTGAGCACTTTGGATGCATGTTGAGTCCTCATAGGGGACGGCTCTGTAATTTGCCCTGTTTTTACAGCTAAGGCCTCATAGTGGACGGCTCTGTAATTTGCCCTGTTTTTACAGCTAAGGCAACCCAGACAAAGTGAGACTGGGTGACTAGTTCCAAATCACACAGCTGGATTTTGAACCAGACAGCTATTTGACTCCTGGGTCTGTATTCCCAACCATTTTGTTAAATATCTTTCTTAGAATGTGGACACTCTGTCATGGTTCCAGGGGACAAAGAGCAGTTTCCCATCAAGATGAGGCAACTAAGACAAAGTGAGATTGTTCACTATATTCTACTTATTATGCCGGATTATATTGTTTGTTACATCATGTTCCACATTCCATGCAGCATAGAGTCTATATAGTGAACCTACACAATGACATGCTATACCTATATTCTCTCATGACCACTATTAATGCTATTATTAATCATCCATTGACTCCTCTATATGCCAGGTACTCAACCGGACCCTTTAAGCATGTTACTTCATTTGAAATAATCCTTCCAAGAAGGTACTGGATCTCTTTCATCCATGAGGACACTGAAGCTCACAGACACTAAGCAACTTGCACGAGGTCACATACATGAGTGGCTGGGTCTGTTTGCCCATGACGCTGCATGCCTCCCCTGCTTTTGCAAGATGTGAATCCATCTGAACAAAGATTACAGAATAACAATACAGGTAGTATCTGTCCAACAAAGTCTGAGACTAAAAAGCTAAAGACAGATCGTTCTTTTGTGAGACATCATTGAAGGGAAAAGGATTTAAAGGACTTCTACTGAAAATGAAATTCTTTTAAATGACCAAAATAATAAATAGGTTAAGTGTCACCACAATTTGATTCACACATTTCTGCCCCACGGAAAGTGACAGTCATGCTGCTCTTCCCTTTGGCATCATTGACTGCCAGAGTCAGACCCAATGTTCAAGGCCAGGTTCCAAGTCCACCTGCTCCAGGAACCTTCAGATCTCCCAGCTGAGCATCCACCTCTCCCTCCCCTGTCCCCCGAATAAATTTCTCCATGATGCTTTTCATATGAACACAGTCTGCCTGGTATGAGGAGTGCATGACCTTGTGCACCCCATCAAGCAGCAGGGCTGTACGGTCTCTCTGACTATGCGATCGTTTGCCTGGGAAAACCAGGCACCATATGGAGTCCATTGTCTAAATTCACACATAAAAGCCATAAATATATTTTCTCTCAAAATCTGAACTAAGGAACCAGGCCAAAATGGATATGGGTGAGCACATCCTTTATCTTAAAGTGCACAAACTGAGATTGATATTGAAATATTTTTGGTTCCTATTTATTTAACTTTATGTGATAAAAGTAGAGAGGCTATTTTGGTCCAGAATAACCAAAATGTGTTTTATTATATTATTTCCATTTCAAAAAGCAAAAGCAAATGAGACTATGCTGTTTTCTTTTTATCACTATAGCAAATAGTTGTTCAGATAACATGAGAAAGTCTCCTGCAGCTTTCCATGTACCACAGAGACACAGTATTTGGTTCCTCCCAGCTCACAGCAGGGACCACATACTCTACAGCAAAGTTTAGCACAAGGATATATACAGTATCATGGTTAACTAGTAAAACTGTGTAAACAGGTAAGGAAGGGACAAGTCTGTAGAAAATCCCTCTGAATGTCATTAAGAGCATCAACACTTTAAAAGCCTCCAAGGTTCCTCCAGACATTGCAAACCCTCTGATTTGCAATTTTGAGTTAACTAAAAAAATTCCAACAGAAGACAGTCACTAATTTGGTTGCAGGTTGTTTTCCAAAAGTGCCATAAATTCAACTTTAGAGTTCAGAACATTTCCACGGAATAAATATTACAGGTGATGGCTTGTGCTAAGGCTTAAGCCATGAACATTTCCCAACCACCATGGAAAACTGCTAGCAAAGGTGAACAATGCAGTTGGAGCTCCAAGGAGGGGCTTCTGCACCGCAACAGTGTCCTGCAGCTGGAGCCAGGCTGCAGCAGTGAGAGCAGTGGGGAGAGAAGAGGGGCAGCCGCTTCCAATGCTAACTGTAGGGAAGGAAAACAAGCAGGGAGGAAGGCCCAGTGAGGAGATGCAGTGGGCATGGCTTTCCTTCTTACTCCCTGCTTTGGGGCCTCCCATCAGCTGTGCCAGAGTCACCTGAAGGGTGGTGTGCAGGTACAGGGAAGTCCTTGGTTCCAGACCTGGCATGGGCACTCACCACCAGTGTAGTCATGAATAAGTCCCTCACTTCCCAGAGCAACAGTTTCCTCATCTGTAAAATGATTGCTCTGGTCCTTTTTAACCACGAATTTCATTTATTCCTGGGGTGGGCAGGAGAAGTGGGCAGATCTCAGGCAGGGGCTGATGAAAAAGCTCCCAGGCCTTCCAGCACAACAGCAAGAGACTGTCTAGTCCACAGGACCACCGTGAGTTGGCCAGCATCCCCCAAGCCGTAGCCCTGCGCTCTGATGTTTGCAGATCAGGAGCTGTGCCCATTTTTAAAAAAGCAGCCTTATAAAGTTCAAGAACTTACAGTTAACAAAGGCTTATGTTTAAAAAGCAGGTGAATCATAAATATAATCCCACGTGTCCCTCAAATATTAGACTGACTATATTTAGGAGGTAAGCATTCCTCCCAAAATCTAGTTTTTATCATCTAGAAGGAAAGTGTTTACTAAGGTAAACTTCAGGCCTGTATCAGAGAAATTACTAATTCTGAATTGGTGAAATCTGAATTGACAAGTTTGACCATAATTGTAATCGTTATTTCAGGTTATGAAATTCCTTCATCTTTCCCTCTCCCCCTTTCTCTCTATACATATCCACACACGCATGCATGTATGCACGCAAATTCTCCCTTCTGGTTTGGCAACTGTTACCATGAAGGTCATTTTGAAAAACAAGAACATTCACTTAAAAGATCCATAGCATACCTAGAAGTTGCATTCCTAATGCTGTAAAGGGCTTGGCACAAGCTAAACAAAACCACAAAATACCTTTAATTTTGCTGGTGCTACTTTTGTACCTTTGTACAATTAGCGTTAAAATAATTTCCACAGCAGCTATTCTCTATTTCGTAAGATCGCTGCCAAGCTTCCAAGCCTCCTAGAACATTTCAAAAACCAAAAACTTGCCAAGAATATGGTGAAAACCATCAAAAAAGACATAACCTTTAGATTGAATATGCTGAATTATCAGCTCCTGGGGACAGCTGCCAATCAGAGTTGAGGCACCGAGGAGAGCCACCCTAGACCAGGAGGGTACAGACAGCGGAGTATTTCTGCTCTGCCAGGCTCTGAGTCACCCATTTGGCCTCCTCCATTGAGAACATGTGTGCTGCCAAATTTTGATTCACAGAGTCCAAAGATGAATGAATCAAACACTGCTTAAGGGCAATGTATACATTGAAATTCCTCCCCCACTCTTCCTAAGGTGTTAGATAGACATGGCTCACAGTCTAGACAGTAACAGAAAAAAGACATCCGTGTTGAGATGAAATGTAACTAATCTATCACGACCCAAAGCACACTTCAGGGCCTACTCAAGACGGTTCACCTCTCCACAGTTTATACTCCATTTAGGAATTTTCCCGTCATTTCCAAAAACAATTAAAATGTCCACTCAGTTTGAGGTCTGGAAATGTTGCAGGCTTGTCAGAGAATGATACCAGCCAGCAAACTGCCATGAATCCCTTCCTCTTTGTCATCTGTTAAATAATTTCATCCAGTAATCAGCTTTAAAGACATTCGTGTTCGGCATAGGACAGTAGAAACATCAAAAACTTAATTTTCTTTTTTTATACCTAGCTTACCTTATCTGCACAGTGTAGACATGATTGATGGGTTTGGGTTGCCACTCCAAAATTGTCTTGAAATTAGTTGACTTCCAAGTTAAATTATATGCTGCCACAGTATCTGCAGTGCCTTTAAACAACAGTGAAACAGCTGTTACTGCATATACTTCTCCACACACGAGTGTGTTGATGTATAAAACACCTTCCCACCTGACATCACCAAAAACCTCACTTTTCATTTTTCAACCACAAAAGCTTCATTAGTGAATTATCAAGAGAAAACGAACCTTCAAATTTTTTCTAGACCCAGAATTTCTTCATGACAAGATTCACCTTGTGAATCCCAGGACACCGGCAAGAATCTTGACATTTTCGTTTGAAATTATTCATGGGGAAAGCCCTGTCTATAAATTGACCGTGAAGAGCCCAGAGCCTTCAATGTGCCAGTCCAGGACTTAGCTCAGGGAGTCAGGTTCAACCCGCCAGGAAGGGTCTTCAATAAGTTACAGGAAAAAGGCGAATCTCACACGTGTGACAAGAGTTAGGACTGCATACAAATGAAAAAAAGGACAAACTTCAGTTTTTCCACTTTTATCTGAAATCTCTCTATACTGAACTTCCACAGAGACCCATGTTGACGCGTGGCCTGGCACGCCGCCGGATGTACTGGGTCAGGATAATGTATTATGAAGGTCTGCTTTGTCAGTAAGAGGTAGATCGCAGTCCCTACGCAGTCCCGAAACCCGCATAGAAATACGGGGCATGGACAAAGTTGTACCTGCTCCAATCCAAGCAGCAGTCCAGCCCTTTCGGATTGCCTATACTCAAATCTAGAACAAAAGTGGCCAGGAACAGACCAGGGTCGCTCTTTATTAAGGGAAGATGCACATATAATGAAAGATAATATCCAAACCTCTGCACGCCAACACGCCGCATCACATGGAAGGTAGCAACTCACTGGGAAGCCCTTTTCCCCATTGTTAACGCGGGAGCCAAATGTCCGCTTATGCAACAACAATGAACGACCCAGGCAAACCTCTCTAGCAGAAGGGGCAGCGGGGTCTGGGGCGCCAAGTCCCTCGAAGCAACTCCCGCCGGCGCCCGCGGGGCTGGGTTCATTCAAGCCGGGCTGGGTGAGCCGAGTCCCGTAGGCGCGGGGAGCAACATGGGCGCCCCGGGGAACCAGGGCGAGCCCGCTGCCAACCAGGACTGTCGCCTCCCTCCCGCGAGCCGCGCGCCCTGGGTTTCCAGGGGCGAGTGCCACTCACCTGTAGCGCCGGCCACCTGGGCGAAGACCCAGCCGAGCAGGAACGTCAGAGTGACGGCGGTCTCGGGGCGCGGGACCGGGGGCCAGGCAAGTGTCGCCATGTCCACGAGCTGGAGGCGAGATCGAAAGAGTTTCGTGGCTTCCCGGGGGCTGAGGAGGTTGGCTGCAGAGCCGGCCAGAGGGAGTGCGAGGTGGAGCGGGGAGCCCAGAGTCTGGGGGAGCCGGTGCCCCGCGCGCTATAAAGGGCCGGCCGCGCGGTCTCCCGCGCCTCTGCCGGCCCCCGCCCCCGCCGCTCCTCCGGACTCCCCGCCCCCGGCCCGGGTCAGCCGGCCTCGCGGTGGGCGGCCCCCGGCGATTCCACACCCCTGCCCCGCCTCCTCCCGGTAGGAAACTCCGGGACCCTGCAAAGGGTGACTCACCTCGGTGATTCAACCGCGCCGCCGCGCGCGGAGCCGGCCTGGGGGCGCAGATGGGTCCAGGTGCGGCGGGGGCCCGGGTCCCCCAAGGTACCCGACCCCGAGGCCCCCGAATTCACCCAGGCCCGCGACTCCGACGTTTAGTTTAGGTGGGCTGCAGGTCTATGGCAAGAAAGGGTGGGCGCCTTGGAAGATTCTTCCCTTACATTTGGTGATAACGTGGGAGCGGCGGCATTTACATTGAATAGAAAGCACGGGGTCTAGGCTCCGCTCGGGCACTTTGCCCATCTGGAGCTGAGGCTCGGGACCTGCAGCGGGGTAAACGTGTGGGTGAGCAGGCGCTCTCCCAGACACGACTGCCTCTTCTATCCCACGAGGGTCAAGAACACCTGTCCTGCCCACCTCGCAAGGCTCTTAGCGGGAGAAAGGCGTGCGAATGCCCGTGTCAGCCACGGATGTGACCGGCTCGGCTCACAGGTCTGAGGGTCAGTTGGCCCAGGCACTGCCCGGTCGGATCAGAGATAGAGCAGCCTCACATCTGGCAGTTTGCCTCTAGGAGAATTCCAGCGTGACATCTGCAGCTCTGTGGTTCCAGAGAGGATGGTTCTCATATTGAAGAAGACATCTGTGGGACTGAGTTCCACCCAAATGCAGAGAAACCAAAAATGAAATTGAAAAATGAAGCCAGACTTGTGTGCCACTGGTTTTAAGCTTTGGTTTTTCTAAATTATTTTCCGGCTTCTCCTTCTGGGCTTTGCTTGTAAAGTTGCCAGGCAGGAGAACAACTCTTATTCTATGAGTGGCATGGTAAGCCATCCTGTGAAAGGATCTCCTGTCATTTATTTTTACTCTATATTGCCTGCAAGACATGACTGAAGAGTTCTTAGTGTAAGAATGGTTTGTTTCTGCTCTCCTTTCTCACGGTTTCCCAGGAAAGTCAAGTATTGCATTTTAGTGTATACTATATACATATAGCTTGCTGAACCACTCTTTAACTGAATAAAACTGCAAAACTTTAATTTTCCCCTTTGCCTGAACTGAAATAGCACATCCAGGTTTAGCCCTTGTAGACTTTCCTTCCTCGAAGTAGAAAGTTGCCTTTGCTGGTTTCCTCTTCGAGCTCTTTACCAGCTCTGAAACCCACAAAGTTTATGTTTGCAGAACTAAGCCATGCAATCCTCTTTTTATGCAGACTCTAGTCTGAGTCATTTTCCCTAAGAGATCTTCAGCCGCACCTGGAATGGGATTCTTTGCTCTTTGGGATTGAAGGTAGCTAAAGAGAAATAGTTACACTTCAGGTTTGTTACAAGATCCAAGGAATTGTTGCAATTCCACTTGGAGTCACTGACTTTTCTGAAATCATATAGGGCTTTAAACAACGTCAAGATCAGCCATTTGATAAGAAAAATGTTTACCATTGGATTGTGATACAAAATGTGCCTTAAATATTGATAATTAGATGAATATTTATTTTGTGTACCATTAAAAGTGTCAGGCAGGAAAAAGAAGAATTTGTTTGATGTTTGCACAGGTTTTTTTAGTAAATACGGAATGACGTTCTTCAAGATTAAAAAATGCTAAAATCCTTACTATTTTCAAGAAGAGGGAGGAGGAAAACTTGGTAAATAATATTTCATTGCGAAGTGTTTTCTTTGACTGATCTAACTGCAGCCAGACCAACTTTTTAGTGGTGCCAAGTGTAGTTTGGCACCATTAAAAAGTACATATCTAAAATTTCACTGTTGATATTTACTGCACAAGAACAAATTGATTGTTAACATTATTCCTTAACCTTAACACAGATTTTTTTTACTCCTGTCAGTAAAGTCAAGCTTAGCAGTTACCAGCTCCTCCAGCTACATGATGTGTCTTGGAGGCTCTGAGAAATTCGAAAAGTTACTAAATTATAACAATAATCTCACTAGCTTGACCAATCCCTTTCTGATCAGATTTTAGGATGCCAGAGGGTGGGAGAGGAGCTCACAGGCATTCTTTTATGGATGAGGGCCCTGTGGCCAGCTGATCTGAGTGAGCGGGCTTGCCTAACCACAAAGTACAGATCTGGTCTTCTACCCCAGGGGCTTTCCTTCCAACACCAGGCTTTCTCCTACTCCCAGTGAATGAAAGTGAGACTAAGTGGCAAATCCATCAAATGAGTGATTAATTAATCCATCCATAAGCACTCAAAAATGTTCTACATGTACAAAAAATGCAGAAAAGTACAACACTGTACAAAAACTACACAGCAAGTGTAGAAAAGTACAACACTGCACAAAAACTACACAGCAAGTGTAGAAAATACTTGCAGTTTGGGGAACTCATTGTTCTTAGGCAGAAGTATCCTGATGTTTAGTCCATGAAATAGACAGACATGGAGACATGTAGAAGAGTTTGAGTTTCCTTTGCATAACCAGTGATGAAATGTGGTTGATGAGAAGTCTGAAAATAATTAAGATGTTTCAGCCCTTCCTCTGTACTTTTATCATACTTGCTGCCAATTTTACCAACTTGATTTCGTTGAGAACTTCACTTACTTTCACTTGTGTGTTTATCTGTTAATCTTTTCCATTGGATTGGGTTTTTGTCTGTTTTTTCATCTCTCAACATTTTGCACAGTTATCAGCACATACTAGGCACTTAATACCTTTTGAATCAATGAATACTTTATAAAATCATGTGTGCAGCCAAATATTTCACTGGTGTTCAAGAGATGAAATCTGTCACTGAAGACTCTCTTTCTAGGGGTCAGGCAGTGAGTGTTTCATGATGCTGAGACTGGTAAGAAAATACAAACCCATCATGACTCGAAAGGCACCAACGTGACAGCAAGCTCTAGCAGTCCAACCAGCGGTAACTAGCTCTGCACCAGCAGAAAATCTCATCAGGAAGGGAGATAGCTGAGGAGCAGAAACCAGATGTGCAAGTTTGGAAACTGGGTAGCATCTTTCCCTCCCTCCCTTTCTCCTTGCTTTTCTTTCTTTCTTTCGACAGGGTCTTGCTCTTATTGCCCAGGCTTGAGTGCAATGGCAAGATCCCAGCTCACTGCAACTGCCACATCCTCGGTTCAAGCAATTCTCCTACCTCAGCCTCTGAATAGCTGGGATTATAGACATGCGGCACCACACCTGGCTACTATTTGTATTTTTAATAGAGACAGGGCTCCACCATGTTGGCTATGCTGGTCTCGAACTCCTGACCTTGTGATCCACCAGCCTTGGCCTCCCAAAGTGCTGAGATTACAGGCATGAGCCACTGTGCCCGGCCTTTTAGCTAGTGTTTTTCTATAAGACTGGATTCCACGGTGATTCAGAATATACTTTGTCATGTGATGAGGTTGTTGATAGTTTTTCTTACATACAAAGGCTGAATCAATTTCTACAACAAATTCCTCAAAATGTCTGTTTCCCAGGAAAGAGATAGGTTAAGATATATGATAGCAAGTAAAATTGAGAATAATTCAGAGAAATCTATTGTATGCATATGAAATGGTAAAAGAGCAATGCAACCATTTTATCCAAAATTCAGGTAAAAGGCAAAGTATGATAAAAGGCCAGAGGGAATTAGGAGTTACTGGGAACACAGAGTTCTTGGGGGGAGAAAAATGACTCAGCAGAACCTAAGAAACATCTGGCAGGGTAAAGTTAGTCATGGAAAAATTGGCAGTCATGATTATGCATTTTGTGAAAATAGCGATTTACTAGTCCAACGATTCATTCAGACCAAAATTCAATAGTTGAAAGACCATACAATGAAATCTGTTCTCCTGGTCATTCAAAATACGTCTATCAACTGTCTAGAATAGCTTACAGGAAGCTTTACTAACTAAGTTATCACATAGCACCAGTATTCTGAAAAATGTAACTTTAGAGGAAAAACCTTCCAATTCAAGTCTTAAACTAGGATTGATATTTTCAGCAGACATCTATTTTTATAAACTTAAAGCTTAAACTACCTGTCAACTTTCATTTTGATTATTTTTATTATCTACATACAATGGTTACAAAACAAATAAATCATAAATATGAATTGTGGATATTAGCTTAGTAGCAGAAAGTCATTTAAAATGAAAACCCTTAATCTATGTTCTTATTTAATATGGTATTTATGTGACTTAAAATTTTGTATATGGTATCATTTACTTAAGCATGTCTTCATTTCTCATTTCTGTAACTCTATATACCTGACATATCCACTAAATTTGATGAACAGAAATTCATTCCTTCAACAAATGCTTGAATGTCCACCAGATACTGGGTTCTTTGCTAGACTCTGGATGTACAGAGTAAAACAAAAAAGTCCCTTTCCTATTAAATATATCATCATTCCTACTTATGTCCAGATTTTATGGTTTGAATGATTTTCTGTCAGCATTTGAATTGGATATAATACAATCTTAACAGTATTGTTTATTTATAAATTTCATTCTACTCTCCCCCCAAAAAGGTTTAGGTGTGCCATGATCAATTCATCAAATAGGTATCTTTAACTCAGAAAATAACTCACGGTTTTGAAATATACATTCTGTATCAGTTTGAATGTATTGATGAACTCTCAAAGTTTTGCATATGGAAAAAATGTATGAAGCTCAATAAGAAAGACAGCTTTATAAAAGGGGAAGTCTAGCAGAAAAGATAACCAAACAGGAGATTCCTCCGGTGAAGAAAATAATAAGTAAAATAATCAGTTTAAAAGCATGTGTGCAAGAAGTTTCATTGTTATTTTTATATTTGTTTGTTGACATTTTATAGCCTAGTTCACAGATGCCCCAGATTTTGAGCCTGTAACCCTTCCAATCCCTTGCTGCCTTTAATGGTGACGTGCACTCTTGTTATACCAGCTCCACATCCAAGCAGAGCTCTCAAGAGAGAGGGAATTCCTCAGCAAG